TGTGGCTGAGAGCAAGGAAAGAAGGTGCTGTGTTACATAATGTGACATTACTTGTCTCACTATTAAAGGGATCTTTCAAAATCTGTGACTCCTCAAGTGGAATTTTTGAGCTCACAAAAATTTGAGTTAAAAGTCAGCTCTAATACACTGAAACCCAATCATAATATATGATTTTTTTTGTAGAAAACTGAGGTCTGTTTTGTTTGGACAATTATTACAAAAATACTAGATCTCCATCTCCAAATCTCTGTTTGCTGTAGAGAGAAGTTAAAAATGTGATTATATTTTCAAGTAGGAAGATTTTTTTTTCTTTTAGAAAAATGCTGCCCATGATTTGATGCCTCTTGGTCTTCATTTTCCTTCAGTGTTGTTTCCAAACACACTTCTAACAACAACAAAAAAATCCACCCAAAAGGATATTTACGTAAATAGTTTGGTGATATGTAGTGTGGTTTTTTTCATTAATATGGTTTAATAAATGAATGTGAGAGCTAAGAAATGCTTGCTTTCTTTTTCCTTAGATCACATAGTACGTCAATGAAAATTCATCTTAAATGTTGTTTTTTGGTTTCTGTTTCTGGCAAGTGACAGGTAACACCCTCGTTGCCGAGAGAATGAAATATCTGATTAGTGGTTAGTGTTCTTCTGTAATGTCAAATGAAGTGGTGAGCCAGTTATCAGTAAACTTAGTTTTTGGGTGCAACAGAGAAATCTCATGCATACTAGCAGAATGGCCTAGTGGATCTTGATCCTGCAAATGTTTGTAGATGGAGATCAATTGGAGTAAACACTTGCATGTGCAAAGTTAAGCAATTAAACTCTGGAGAGTTGGAGTCATCCTAATTAGGTCTGTATTGGAAATTAGCTTGGTTTTATCATGAACCTTGTAAACATGGATCTGCATTTCAGAAAACTGGCATATGTTTTTATTGTAGTTGTTGGAAGGTTCTGAACAACAGAACCAAGGTCAAAGCTGAAAACTGTGCAGTCCCAAATGGCAGAGACAGTATCCTGAAGGCAAATCATGGGTTTTAGACTTTATTAGACCCTTGCTTTAATTACCGCCTCATTACTTGCTCTGCTTCCACAAAAAGTATTCCATACTGTCATTTTTCCCTAAGTAACTGGAAATGTGATTGAAAGGGATGTTTAAAGTGAGACTAATTCAAGATTAAATAGTCACAAATTATATTATTGCTACATGTAAACAAATTACTTGCATATCTGATTTTATTCAGATTACTTTTCAAGTGGTAAATAATGCTTTATCACTTATATAGTGCTCTTACATCTTTAGAGTGCTTTTCTCACATTAATTAATCATCATTAAACACTCTGAGGTGGGTAGGTTAATACTATTATCCCCATTTTGCAGATGAAGAAATGTAGACTGAGAGGTTGTGATTTGCTCAAGGCCATATAGAAGAAATAGTCAGAGTGGGGATTAGATCTGTGTCCCTGGTTTCTAGTTTCAAAAGATCATCCAGATTGTGAGTTTTGAAGCAAATTATAGGAGTGTACATGAAGAAATGTTGCAAGCTTGCCTTGTCGAAGGCTAGTTAGCAATTTGTTTAAAAGGAAGCTTTGGATTTTTTTTTTTCTTTTTCCAAATCTACTTTCTTATTTTCACCTATTCAAATTAACTTTCATCCTAAAAATAAGTTTCTATTTCTTGCCTCTTGAACATAGCTGTGTGCGATTCAAGTGCAACAGATTTAGCTTTGGAACCCTAACCTGTCTACATGTGACTCCAGTACCAGCTTTGTTGTTTATAAATTCTCGCAAGCTGAGACATAAATGAAGTTCTGACTTAGCAGCTATTTAGACTATATAAGAAATTGATAAGAGTTACCTTCATGACATGCTTAAAAACACGACCTTTGCAGGCAGTACAGCTGCTTAGTGGAGACATGCATGGACATTTGCTATACTTTGGAGAACTACCTAAATAGAATTAAGTAGTTTTGTGTCTGGAGCAAAAGAGAGCAGAAATGTTTGTGTGCCTGAATGATCAGAAACGCCACAGAGCACTATATGGAGCTGTTGGCTATGGGGCACGTGCAGAAGCAACAGGTCAGAAGAAAACAAAGCGTGAGAAGTGCTGTGCTTGGCCAGGGTGGGACGGTACCGGGAGCAGGTACATGGGAATCATGGCTCTGAAATGGACCCTTCCTGCTCTGCTTTTTTTGTGTTTTTGTTTTAATATTTAATACATTTAAAACTGCTTTTAAATAGCTCAGAATGAGAGCAGAACCCCTTACTTGGAATGTTTGTTGTTTAATCAAGAAGGACTTAGTTTTAAGTTAAAAGCACACCAAAATGCAGTCTTTTAGCACTTGGAAAGGAAATTCCCGGGGTGATGCCCCCTTGTGGCTCCCCTCAAAGATAAGGAGCCTTAAGGGAATTAAAACCTGCCGTTTTAGTAAACCTTGGAGCAGGCTGCAGGCTTTGTGGTCCAGCTGGGTTTTAGCAAGCATTCTGAAACTGGGTACCTTTCTGTGAAATCGGAATCTTGAGAAATGTTAGTTTTTAACAAATTGCTATTAGAGAAAAGGAGGGAAATGGGATATTTGCCCATTTGTTTTCTTTTAAGGCTATGGAATGTATTTCGCACCAGTGGATCCTGTTTGGATAACGGGACCCATGATTAGCTAATGCTAACTCGTTGCGAGAGTAGTTTAATAGCTATTTTAGCATGCAAATAAACTACTGCTAACCTTGTTCATTCACAAATTCATATACTGCTATGCCTAGAAGGGGAGAATCCGTAATTTATTGATATCACTTCTACTATAGTGTCGTAGAAGTAATGCATTTGGTGGTGGTGCTGGACAGCTGTCCAGGCAAATTAAACTTCAATGAACAGGTAATTTGTTTTATTTAGGCTTAAAGGAGTTTTCCTTCTTTAATTGTAGCTCTAAATATAAATTATGTATGGAAGATGGACTAATCATTTTCTTTATGTTTGATTAAAGGCAAAGAATCAAATATTTGTTCATATATTTATCTATTTGTTTCTTTGCCCTGATAAAATCATTTTTTTCCAAACACTGGGCCTGACCTAATAAGGGATATACGCATAAATGATCTGCTGTTCTTCAATATTTATTCTTTCTTTCTTCATTTTTTTTAATTTTAATAAGAGTTTTATGTGGGCAGCTAATTGAGTTCAGTCTAAGAAGTGTAAGCTGAGACATTTTTAAGATGGTGCATTTTAGCCCTCCCTAGAAGGTCTCATTTTATCCTTGCCGTGAAAGGAAAAGGTTTCTTACTGGTTCCACCCTATAGTATCCCTTCAAGAGAGATTATATCAAAGAAGAAGAATTAAATTAAAATTGATTGGTGCTATTGATTTTTTTTTTTTTTAAGGGGATAAAGGGTGATGGAAATAGCATATGCCTATATACTGTTTTACTGATGGACTACTTTTTAAAAACATAAAAAGCATATGTGCTCAATTTACATATTTACTAATTAAAAAAAGCTTCCTGGAAACATTAAGTAGACTATCTTCCGTAACCTTTAACATTGTAGCTAATGGATATAGCCTGAAAATTTTCATAGAAGGTCCTCTAAATAATGTAAATGATTATGAATATGTAACTAGTTAATATGCAGCTATGAAAGGATTATCATGTAGAGGTTAATGAACATGCTGCTCTTATGGTTTGCAGGGCTTTTCTTTTTGTGCTTTTAGCTCACTTCATGCATGGAGAGTCATGTATTGGGAATGGAAAGCTTCCTGTCTTCTTTTTTCCATCTTCGTCTTTAATAGGGCAATTAAACTGGAACTTTCTTAAAGGATTTCATAAGCATTTTTGTGCACTTAATTATGTTACGTGCTTTGCAATCACTACCAAATCTGAAAGAATGAAATACATTGATAGAATATTCTGTTGTTGTAGTTGTTCTCCTCCATTGTATGTTAACATTGCTCTGAAACATTGCTACTCTGTATGATTTATACTTCGTAGGGAAACTTTACTCTTAAAATGTGCCTAATATTAATAGTTTGAATTAGATTTCTGAATTTATATCCTGTAGAAGTCTGTGTATCTACTCCGAACCTTAAAAATAGTTAGCTTGCACATTAGGGAAAATACAGGAATTTGATTTATAGGAGTTTAAAGCAAATGATAAATTTGAACTTGGCTTAAGCGGAACAAGCTACCTGGCCAAATTTCCTGATGGATTATGAAATAGTGCAGCCACAAATGCAGAACTGATCCTTTTTCTTTAAGTACTTAGCTCTGTTTAAAGAATTATTAGCTCACAAAGTACTCCCATTTTTTTTTTCTGCTCCTGTATGAGTAAATGTACAGGATCTAGAATCTGTTCTGCAGTAGCTGCACATATGCTAACTAAGAAAAAAATTGTCTTTCATTCTGTTATTTAAGAAGAATATATGCTCCAGTGATTTCAGTGAGACTTGAATGTATGTTATTGTTTTCTCTACAACTTTGCTCATTAATTGCTTTCAATGGTTAGCATTATTTTGGCTTATAGGAAAAACAAAATTTGAAAAAAAAAAAAACTGAAGAATACTTACATTGACGAATTAGACAAATTTCTCATAGGCTCATTGTGCTTAATGTAATTGAATGACATTTTTTCTGTTATATTTTTGTAACTGTTTAGAGAGCCACGTAATTATAGCAGAGAAGGTTACAGGTTTCAACATTTTGCCCGTTTGCTATCCAAACAGTCTAAAAAAATAGAGTTAAAGAATATAATTTTAGCAATGTACCTTATTTTGCAAGTTATTTTTGATGTTTTGGGAGAAATAAATCAAAAGTCCTTTTTTCCTCCACCCAGAAATAAGAGAAGAAGGCAACAGCCTATACTGGCATCAAATGTCCTTGCATTTAAACACTGCAAAATTCATCTGTGATTTTTCAGAATAAAGCTGCTAGTGGAAACATTTGTAGATGTGTTGATAAAGGAAAAATGTTTTGGGTGCTCTTGGGGTCCTTTTGTTTTTGTTTCTCTAATGAATGCATATGAACGTTACACTGATGTCTTGTTATAATTTATATTGTTGTCTTATTCTGTAAGCATATAACACTGAAAATAGATCTGCAGATTGCAGAAAATACTACTTATCTTGTATCGTGTGTCACCTAATAGTTATGGAGCAGGTATTGTACCAAAATATGAACTGAAAAACTGTAATTTGTTCTGTGGTTATCAGTCTGCATTAGTGTGTGATAAAGTGTGCAGCTTAAGAACTACCATTCACATGCCTTTGTACTGACAAATAAAAATGTATATAGAGACACCACCAAATCTGTAAAGCTACTGTTCTAGTTGGTGATGCATTGACATTGCAGCTGTGTGCTTAGCCTTGTTTTTTCATGAGTAGTTATCTGTTTTAATGACAGGTGGTCACTAGCTGCCAAGAAAAAATCCAGCACTGGTAAGTGAAACATGTTTGATTACATGCTTAAAATACTAATGAGTAACCTACTTATATTTTAGTAAAGTTACTGTGCTATTATTTATTCTAAGGTTAGCCAAATTCTACCAGCATGTTTAGTGGCTTATAGTCGGAGATAGCTCAGAATTCTTGCAGTTTGCTCCCTCTAAAGAATATATGTTTTTCACTGATTCTGTTCCTTTAAATACCCCAAACCTTAGTGTTTATACTCTTTTATATACCCTTATTTGTTATTTTTCCCTAAGTAACCTTCTGGGATGAATGCTTATTTTGCCTGATTGGTGAAAAGGTATTCCCACTGTGGAAATAATTATTTTTACTTGTTTTCTCTTTAACTGTGAGCAGGTAGGAAATTTTTTGCCTTTTTTTTTTTTTTTTTTCTCATACATGTACTAAAATATATCCTCTCCATCCTACCTGCCCCTCTCTCCCCCCAAGTTTATAACCTTAGTGTATAAAGCTTAGAAATAAATGACTTGTTTTGTAAAAAAAAAAAAAAAAATTCTCTGGGTACTTTTTTTTCTGTTGGTGATATATAGTTAATAGAAAACATGCTTAGTAAATAATGATTTTGTATGGCATCTGAAGAAAATGTACATTTAATGGTGAATGAAATCTTACATTATGAGTTACTGTGAGATATAACAGTTGATCTTACAGATATCAAATTACAATATATCCATGCTGTGTTTACCATGATTTTAGTGAGAGAACAACAGGAGCTGTCTTGATTATTGTCTGCAGGGTTATTGCAGAATCACAGCAACTGCCCCTTTAGTGGTGAGATTAAACCTTCGGTTATACACCATCAAGCATATAATATTTTAAATTTATTTTAAGAGGCTTTTTCTTCATGCCTGAAAGATCTCCAAGCAAATAATTTATATTTAGTGTGTATCAAATGTTTTTAGTTTAAATGCATATAGGCTGCAAGCACTGGATAAGAGGAAAAAAATTTAGGCAATCTATACACATCATCATATTAAATTCTGACTATTGGCTTGCAAAAAATAATCTAAAACTAATATGTTTCATTTATGTTTAAAATTCAGAGACTGCATTAATTTTCAATAAGGGAAATATTATTGAAGTGCCTACTGGTGCTGCTGTAGTTAAGTCAGTCAGAATTTCCATAATATACATACTTTTTCAGGAGTTTATGCAGTGTCCATACTAATTTAGAATAGTGTGATATTCTGCATGTACATTTTTTTTACTAAGATAACTATTTTTCAGAAATAAGCTAATTGATAGAAAACTTTAAAAATTCAAGCAAATTTTTAAAATTGTAAAAAGGGAAACTGATGTAACTGTTTTCATTTCCTTTTATAGAAAATGCTGAGATTTGTAGAATGAGGTGGGGGGTAGGCTATGGAAAGATGAAATGAAATTACCTATGAAATTAATGAAAATAAATAAAAAAAACCATTTTTTTTTTTTGAAATTTTCAATCTCAGTGGTCCAGTTTAGGATGTTTGCATTTTCAGAAATTCACATAGTAGAAATTCGATCAGCAAAAGGCAATAGTTCCACAGGGGGGTGAAATGTTTGCCAACCCTTTCCATTCTGCGCCCATGGAAGGGTGGATAACCATATAAGAAGGTCTGCTCCCAAAGATTACCAGAGTAGAAAATGTGATGAATTGGGGCAATAGAATCCTTCCATATTTGAAGCAAGTGATTTCTGCTGTACCCTAATCAGATTATTCAGTAGCGGGCAGCAGTTGGACCTTAACGACACTATCTTTCTCTCAGATAAATGAAGAAATCTTATAAATGCAGAGTGACTTCCAGCCATGAAATGACGAGATCTTTTAATACTGCTTCAAATGGAGGGAACACCCTTATTTTTCATACTGATCTTTGCCTATGGAGACTTGCCTTTGTAACTGATCCATGAAAAAAACCCTTCAGTATGGAGTCTTTGTTTTTGTCAATATTTTATTTTTTACATTTCTGTTGTGCGAGACTGTTTTCACTTATGACTACATTTCTGGTTGGTCCAAAATCAGCAAGTTTGATCTCATGCTGCATATCTGCCTGTTTATTCTTCATTTAAAATAAAAAGTTTTCAAATGCATAATCATTTATCACAGAAGCAACAAAATAAAGACAATAACCTTTCAAACTTTCATAATCATAATCTTTGAGGTTCTCTAAGGACTGCAGAATTACTTCTTAAATGCATGAAATTTATAAAATATGGTGTCTTTACTGAATTTTTAGTTTTGGTTTTGCTAAATTTGATACTCGACCAAAAAAAAAAAAAAAAAAAAGGACAAAAGAAAAGTCCTCAGTTTTCTTTCTGTTAAATGAGTCCTCTAGTTAGCTTATTAACCAAAAGGCAAAGGCAGCCATAAAGGCCTTCTCTTTCTAACGAAAGCCTCTGCGTGTTGTCTAAGGTTTGTTCAGACAGATTTCCCTCCCTTGTATGGCAAGCAAGTGGGATTAGTTCAATAAGCTGACATTTATTTGCTTTCAGGGACATACAGGGGCAGATGAGGGATCTTCAGGCAGTTCTCTCAAGGAATGTTATTCCAAGAAATCTAGTTAGGAAGAGTGAAAGAATTCACACTTCTACATGTCTTTTATGCTGCTTTTTAAAAGTTTCCTTCTCTCTCAAATCAACATTTCTTTTGAAGTGTAGCAAGTTAATATGGCAACAACACTGCCCATTTCTCTGAAAATACAGATCTCTGTGAGGCAAAGGCTGAATTTTGTGTTGCTATGAAGTAATTAATACTTGCAATTAACAACAAATTGTCATATTACTTTCCCTCCAAGAATCTCAATGAATTTTGTACTATTCATGAGCTTAGCGTTTTTTTTTTTTTTCAAGGTAGTGAGTAATATTTTCACTCTCTTGTGTTGAATGAATAGGAAAGCTTGCGCAAAATGGTTGGAGAAACTGAGTAACAACAATAAAACCAAAAAAGAAACAAGCATCTTTTGTAACCTGATGATATAGAATACAGTTTTAGTGTTCAGGACAAATTCAGTAACTTAAAATATGAAATGCTACAGGCTTATTGCAGTGTAATTACAGCAAAGTTCCACCGTGGGTGCATTGAGGGTATCACACAATATTTCATAGTGAGTGCTGAAGAATGTTTCACTTTATTAATCTGAGAAGAATATTTAAGAAAATCAGTGATAATATTTTGAGTTGTCTTGTCAACTATGATGTTCACTTTGCAACAAATTTATACATTGCTTTTCTGAATTATCCTCACAAAATCTGTGATTTGCATCCTGAGTCACCACTCTTCAGTGTGTTGCTCTGTGCTATCAGTTGCCTTCTATTCCCGAATTTAGTACCATATATAGTATATGCACTACTTTGAAGTGCGACTAAACATGGTTGAATTTGATGTTTGTATACCTGATACTTCCTTTAGAAGGTGATTTTTGCCAGTCTTCAAAATGACAGTTGTCCATGACTTCCTGCATCAGAATGAATATTTCAAAGAAGGATTTTTCAAAAAGGAGTACAATTATTTCTTTTAAACAAAGAGAAAAATCCCGGTAGCAATTAAAATGCCTTATCTTGCAAAGCTCCCTGAAGAATCAGGTATCTACCATGGGAATAACTTGTCCGAGTTCATTTTGGCATTTCTGTCCTCTATAGCAACACGTAGCATGCAACCCTTTGTAGAAGGCAACAGCAGAACGGATGTTCCACATCTGTGTTGCTTGTCCGTGTTTCAAGAGGGTGCAGAATCTTAGTGCTCGATGATCTTTCAGGAATGTTGACTGTTAATAAGACAAAGTTTATATGAAAATCACAATGTCAGCCCAAATGAAATACAAATGTTTTGTGAAAAAGAACACTGTGAAGAATTGGCCTCTTCTAAAGTATAAACTGATTTTCAGTTATTCTTCTAAGTACTGATGGTGGTATAATTGTTGAATTTGAGCATAAAATGAGATATGCCAAAGCCCAGTGAATGAACTGGTTCTTTCTTTGCACCGTACAAAGTTCAAATTCAGATGTGAATGTCTAATTTAAAATAATAGTGTGGCTATTAATATAATAATACACATTATTATAAAAAAATTTGTAGCTTTTATATTGGCCATCCCCAAAGTTTTCTAGAAACAAGTTACTAATCTGTCATAAATCTATATGCTTATGAATAAAATAGTTTGTTGAATTACCAGCAGAAAGAGATTAGCCATTTGCTTCAGATATGAAATTGAGTCAACTTGATTTTGTCAACAGGAAGAAGGTGGAGAGCGATTACGAGGCTCTTCAAGAACGACTCACTACATTGCCTGATAAACTTTCTTATGATATCATGGTATGTATAACGTAATGCAGTTCATTCAGGAGAATAGGCTAAAAGTTTTAGTGTCTTAAGTTGCTGCACCAGCAATGGGGTGTTGTTCATATATATTACCATATATTACCTAATAATGTTACATTTATGATGATAATAGTTAAACCTTTGCTTCTGTTTCTTTCTCATTTCTCCATTGTAAATTTTAGCGTTATTGACAACTGAAAACTCGTGACATAAACGCTAACACAAACCCTGAGATTTTTGATATGTAAATCTATTGTATAGAAAACTGTAATTATGACTGAGTTATGGTACTAAGTCATTTCCTGAGAAGAAAGTGGCCATAGCATTTTCTGATTCATGGAAAGAAACCCTAGAACAATGATTTTTTACTTTTTTTTTAAAAAAAAGGTGCCACTAATTTTTGTTTCATACTGACATAGCAATCTTTGTTCTTTGAATCTTTGGTAGCAACTACACAGCTCCCTGTTTAGACTTCACCTGGTTGACATATACTTGTGAGAATACTGGCCGGATAAACTGGCTTCTCTGTTTTGACTCTTTTTTAAATGTCCAATTCAAAATATATCTTTGCAAGCCGAGGAAGTTACAATGTAAATAACTGAATGGCTAACTTAAACGCAAAGTGCTTAACAGCTTACACACGGGCAACCTGATCCTGGGTACTCTTGAGTTATTACTAAAGCAGCATTGGAGTGCACTTCTTATCATGTTTTTAAAGAGATTTTTCCCCTTACTAGTGCTAATGGCTCAGGTCAAGGTTCTATATGTAATCTTGTGATCATTTTTATATGCATGGCCATATGATGTAAAGCAAAATGATCAGGTTATTTCAAAGCGTAGAAGAAAATACTTTTTTTTTTAGTAATAGATATTGCTCATTCTTAGTTAAAGCAGCAATGTCAATTCACATCTGTTACTTTAAATGTATATAAATAGTTTCTTTTCTGTTAGCCAAATATTTTCATATGTTTTTAATTTTGCTTTCACCATTTTGGGGGAAGAGTGAACAGGCAAATGATTCAGCCTGATACTTGAAAACCTGAGTCAGGAAGAGTACATGTGCTGGAAAGAAGAAATTCTGCATAGGTCTTACCTTAAGATCCTGCTTAGTATAGAATTGTTCTGAATATAGGTACCCTTCTGGATACAGGAGCTAGAGAAAATCCCATTCCGAGAAATCACAGCTGCTGAGTTAAATGCTCTGTCTCAGTAAAAATGAGATGAGAAAGTAGTTTGCTATCCCAAGGAAATGAAAGGCATCAAAGGAATAAAGTAGGAGCAGATATGTTTAGACCAAGATAGATCTCTCTTTATCATAAGAAAGAGGAATTTGATCTGGCTCTGGTTCTTAGCTTTTTTTCTTCCCTCCAGTGGGGGAAGACCTGACTTCTCTGAAGGTGGAGGGTAAAGGCGGCCAGGTGGTAGTAGTTCCAAATCAGTGCAAAAGTTGAGGGGATGTTGGTATGTAAAGCACGAGGGAGATCAGAGCGAGGTTGGTCTTAAGGGATAGCTGGAGGAGGTGCATGTAGTTGGTAGAACATTGCTTGAAGATTGCGAGCTTCAGATGGGTGAAAAGTAAGAGTAAGAGTAGGTACTTCGTATGATCCTGCTGTTTCTTGCTCATAGCCCCATAAATTTGAACTGAGGTTTCTATGTATTGTTAACAAGACAGATAATGAAAAAAAACAACTGACCTTTGAGCTGACTGTACCTCTAAAATGTTTCTAAAGTTTTAGCAAAACTGGAAACATGTATATTCTGTGTATATGGGGAATAAGTATATTCTGTGTATTTTACGGGGAAATGACTATATTCTGTGTATAATAAATATTTAATTTACCTAAAGAAATTACAGTATTTTACTTTATGAAGGCTTACATGTTAGGATAAGCCGAGTTTCTTTTCCATGTGAACATTCAGTGATATGGTAGTTTAATGCTGTAAAGCAAGTTTTTCTGGTTAAATGCAACTTCTCTGATTTAATAAGTGCAGTACTAAAATCAAATGGATCTGATCTTTTCAATATTTGTGAATAATTAGTCATTAATAAAAGCATTGTAGAATTTTAATTTATTTAACTCAATATTTTACTTTTCTCTCTTAAGCAGACATGAATGTCTATCTACTTTTATTTTTGTTAGTGATTTTCAGCAGTTTTTTCTGTGCTTTTGACAGGTACCTTTTGGACCTCTTGCCTTCATGCCAGGAAAACTTGTCCACACCAATGAGGTTACTGTTCTCCTTGGGGACAACTGGTTTTCAAAATGCTCAGCTAAGCAGGCTGTTGCCCTAGTTGAGCACAGAAAAAAACGTATGTATGATTTTTAGTGTAATTTAATAGTCAAAATTATTGTTTTTATGTTAATATGTTAGATTGGTAATATTTATGCTATTCTTTTTTGATGAGCTGGTTATCAGAAATATTTAGAAGTAGTATCAATGTAGCATGTTAAGGAATCTATCCGATTTTTCAAAAGCATCTTACCGAAGTATTTTGTTATTTTTGGTGTACCTAAGCCAACAAAATGCAGGTTTTGATGTTAGATTTAAGAATACAGAATCAGTCAAGATTTGTTCATTAGTTTGTTCATATGTGAAATCTAAACAAAAGCCATTCACTTTTGTTTTTTTTTTTAAAAAAAATGCTGTATTCTTTTCCAGAAAGTGGACATCACATTGTACTTCGGCTCCTAATTTCCCTTTTTTTCCCTGTATTGTGTTCCCTTATCTTTTATTTCTTTGCTGTCTTGCCTTCTGTGGGTTTTTTGTTTGTTTTGTTTTTTGTTTTCTTCTGTCAGTAGTAGGTTCCAGCTTTCTTATTCCTCTACCTGTGTTACTTCGGCTCTTTTCCCTGGCTCTCCTGGACTTCCCACTCAGCTGTATTTTCACCTTGTGCCCTTGACATTCCTCTCTGTTTGTATGGAGAGATCCACTTGATCTCCAGATCAAGGACCATTTGGTCAACCATTGCCATTTGGTTGCCAAATGGGCAACCATTTTTCTTGAGATAGCAAATTAGGATCAGAGAGACAGATTGGCTGTTAACTTTTTGTTTCCAGTTCTGTTAACTTGCTACTGGCATCTTGTCATAGAAGAACCAGGAAAACCAGGCAACATTCTGTCAGCAAGCTTTTGTACATGGTGCATTTTGGAACTTAGAGTGATATAAGGGTCAGGGAAAGCACAGTAAAATGCAAAGTAAATAGGTACCTATTAGTATTTATTGTTAAATTTGGGTAAGCATTTGAATTTTTTTATTTGTGTGTGTGCATGCATGTGTGTAATTTAAAAATCTATAATCTGCATCATTTGCACAGCAGCTTTGCCTTGTTAGGTTACAACTAGCATAACTGTTTACATTGAATTTGTTACTAAGTTCAGTTATTCATGTTGCTACCTGTTGCAGAATACCTTAGAGGCTCTCCATGTTATTTTTTTTTTTGCATCTCTATACAAGCGGTATATGTGTAAAAGTTTTCTCTAATAAAAATTCATTGGCTGTGTTACTTTAAAGTATTTCCTTTATGAAGAACATTACCAAAAGTGATTTGTATTTTATCTATTATATCTGTCTTAATCTGGTTCTCTTGGCATAGCTTAGCAATTTTCTTTCTTACTGAACTGAATCTACAATATTTATTGTGACTCTTGCAAGATCTGAGGTCCATATCTCTTTCCTTGATCATCTTATATATTTTTTTCAAGGCTTCAGAATATTTTTGTCACCATTACATTCAGTGAAATCATTTGACCTTTGCATAGTAGATGTTTGAACATTAAGTAGTCTGCTGGGAGACACACAGTAAATGCTGGATTCTTTTTCTTTATGATCTTTTAAATTGCATTTAAAATATGAACTCAGAAATACTCATTTCTTTTAAAGCAAAATAGTCACTGATGCCTGGATACAAACCCTCCATTCAGCTGGTGGTTCACTTCTCAGCTGTGTGATGGCTGCCAGTGGGAGGCTCCAAAGCACTGATATTAACTACAAACTTTTTATTTAATGATCTGACCACTGTCCGTTCTGGGTGATAAACGCCATGTTAATATGTGTGATGCTGGAAAAAGTATGTGTTTGCTTTCTTGTTTGCTTGCCTTTTTTTTTTTTTTTTTAACTGATACAATTTTCTCCTATAAACATAGATTTGACTTAAACTTTCAACTATTTTCACATTAAACAAAAGGAGAATCTTGGGCATTTTCTCTGTTCTAATTAAGAAAAAAGTTACATGCCTGAAAGATGGGTAAGCAATTGCTAAATAATGTGAATTGACCACTTCTGCCAGAAATGTGAAAGAAAGATATTTCCCAAGTATTAGCATAAAGTGGCACTGTAATTGCTTTAATAGACATGACTTCTGATTTCTCTGAGATTTCCTTTGTAGTGGCCTCATAATTTACTGGGTGACGTATGTTTAGCATTACCGTTACATTGACGCAACATGATTCAATTTTAGCACCTAATCTTGTTTTGGGCATAAATTTCAGGAGTAGGTCATACTCCCTGGAAAAGAGGGCACGCTTACTTCAACGGATTACATTTTAAGCAGTCCTGAATATCCTGCGTGCTTGTCAGAAGGTCCGAACACAGCAAAGCTTTCTTAAGCATATGCTTAAGGCCAGTGCATGCTTAAAGGCTTTAATATATAGGAATTGGGGTTTAAAGAGCATAAGGAAAGATTCCTGATGAAATTGCTTGCTGTATGAAAATTGATAACTTTTGTTGATTTTTTTTTGTGACCTACATATTTGATGAAATAAACCCTAAATAAAATACATTAATATTGAATAATTAGCTTATTTTTTCATATCATATCTGTTCAGATACTTGAAATGAACTTAAGTATAGCACTGATGTACTGATGAAACATTCTTTAGCAGAAATTAAGAGTTATGAGGAAATAAAAGACAAATTTTCTTTGCTTACCATCTTAAGTCTCATCATCCTGAGTATAGGAGAGTAGGAAAGCATGGAAAATCCAGCTGGTTCAGATTAGTGTTTAGGATTTAGTTTTTCTAGTGGGACTGGCTGTCAAGTAGAAAATGGTAGGAATATTTCTGATTTTTGTTTCTTACCTCATTCTGGGGAGATTCCTTTACTGCCTTGGACTAATTTGGCAGGGCTCTAGGCCTTGGGCAGCTGTGCTAAGTGTCATGGGCCTGTTTGAGGATGTCACAGACCTAGCAGTTTAACCAACATTTGCAGGAAAAGATCTTTGCAATTTGATTTCATATATGCATGATAGATGAATACAAGAATGGACAATATAAGCTTGCGTGCTTAAGTGGTAATAGGTGGTGCCAGTTTATTCATGCTTGCTCTTAACTTTTGATTTAAGTCTTGTATGTTGAGTGTAACAAGAAGAGTGTAGTATATAGAAAGGTTTTAAGTATTACTTAGTACTAATCATCGTTTTTGCCTTAGTAGATTTGTTAAATTTACTTTTTAAAGAAGAACAAGTGAAAAAATATTTACCACTGTGAAGCAGGGAAATGCTCAGTTACAGCAGATGAATTTCTTAGTGGAAATTTGCTTAATTGAAATGAGTAATTGGAGGATGATAATGTGGAATTTTCAAGGTAAATGCACTTTAACTGACAGACCTATAGAAAGCACTCATTGTGAGATAAGTTGATGTTTGATAAAGTTTTGAGTTACTTGTAAAATTTTCAGCAGTGAGATTGTTGGAAATGCATTTGAGAAAATTTGGGACTCTTGTCAAATACTTCATTTTGATAAAATATCGATGTCTCCTTGTATAGTATTTGAGTTGCAGTAACTCTCATTTACTACGTGTTTCTATGATATAGCTAGATGTTTGGTTAGATTCAGAACTTAATAGAGTGATTAAATATATTTTTAATTATTTAAAATTTCTTACAATAATTCAGTTCTTTAAATAAGGTAATATAGATAAAGGGAAACACTTTACATGTGTTTGTGAATTTTTTTTTTAAATTAAAAAAAAAAGAATAGTGAAGTAGATTAAAGGATACACATACCAAATTCTATTATAATAAAAGAAATTAGCTTTTTAAGTATGTCACAGTTTAGCACAACAATAATGCAATTGTATTTTTTTCTCTTACAATTATCTTGCTTAAGGTACTTCATAATATTTCTGTTCTCCTCAAGGCAAGACTGTATTGTTTCAGAATTCAAAGAGGGAATAAAGATTCTTTTTGTGAATATGGGATTATATCTTTTACGTGTTTGTGATGATATAAATTAAATTTTTTCTCTATATCAGTAATCGCATTAATTCTTTAAGATAGGAAATTTTTCATTACAATAGTCCCTGTGGTAGTTCCTATGGAAAGAAATTAAATAGATTTTTCTTGTAAATATTTGTGGATTAATTTGGTATGCTAGGTATTCCAAGTGTCTGAACACTTCAAGAGGTGAGAAATTAAAACATGCACACAAAACTAGGAGTGTTTTTATTGTGTTAAAAATTATCAGATAAAAAAATCCCACTTATAGGAGAATTGTTGAACTGTTTAGTAATTGTGTCTTCAATATATGTAAGAATACCCTTGCAGTGTCATGCTGCAAATGAATTCATGAAATGAAAATACTGATTACATTAACATACAGTATTGTGATAGTACCCAATTGTAAATTGCAGTATGTAACCTTTAATACAAATATTTGTGTCAATCAAAATTGACCGATAGCTGAGTATACAGGGTTTAAAAGATACCATTGTTTTTAGTAAATAAGATGATCCAAGCGGATGAGGGTGAGTTTGAATTTGTTCCTTATCAGCATTTCCAGAAAAAAGGATATTGTCTCTAAAATATATGAAAAGGAAGCTTTCCATTTCCTATCTGTGAACAAGTGAGGTCTTTAGAGGTTTTAATGTTTCATTCAAGAGTAAAAATAACTTCCTTCAGAATGTAAAGGACAACGCAAACTTGCCTACTCACTACTTTTGGAGAAAAGAACAAAAGATGCAGGTAACATTACAGAGAAATCTAGCTGTTGTTTTTCTTTTTTTTTTTTTTTAAAGTGTTTCTGCATGCTGAAGAATACTCTTTCACAGTACTCTTTTTTATTAAACATTTTTTTGCGATTATCACCTTTTTGGTTTGATAACCTCCATCACTTTCTTACTTACCCTTGTTAAGTTAGGAGCTGATTCCGTGAAGTGCTAAGTGCTCTAAATTTGCTCTGCAGTTCCCCAGAGATGTTTAGTTTCTCACATGACCACAGTCTAGGTATTTTAACCAGTCCACAGTAGAAAAGAGTAGGGAGAATAGACTCCTTTCTGTTATTTGCATTTGGTGATTCAGAGAAGTTCTTGC